GTGTTAGAGTGATGCGTGTGGGATATCCAGGGTGATCCAGTGTATGTGAACAGTGAGATGTTTGGGCGCTGAAGTCGCCATAGCCAATTGAGAGTGAACTCGTATCTGAAAGCCATACATCTGAGTTTTGAGTGGGCGCATTTCGCCAGTATGCTGCGTTGCTGTTTACATGCATGAAAAGTGTGTTTGAGAACGAGTCTGATTGCAGCTTAAGGCAGGCACATATATACACAGCAAGATTTTATTGACACCTACATCATTGCTTTCGTCTTCTTATTATCGAAATTATCATGAACATCATCACTGGGCACCATCATTGCTGGGACATTGAAAAATACCGCTCAGTCTGACCCTAACAGAGGCATGATTCTGAAGGCATAAAGTAAAAAAACCCAAACTTCGAACGAATGCTATCAGATTGTTGAGAGATGCAAACTGACAGGCTCAGCAGGCTCCTCCACACATTTCCGACCCTCAGGGGAGGCATATGTACGAATCAACTCTCATCAGTTTCATATATGACTGCCATATACCTGGTACTGCTAAACTACGGCCCCAAACTCGGAATGCTTTTCGGGTTTACGGCTACCAATGGGTTCAGCATGCCCTGATTGGTCATGGACTTGGTGGGGAGAGAAGACACATGCATGCAACCAATATGAATCTCTTGCTCAAAAGAAAAGCAAATTCAGGTTGCAAGAAGCGAGGAGATCAGAATACATTTTTTGTACTTCACAGATACGTCAGGTCCGTCAACTTTACCTCACGGGTTATCTTGTGAGCATTAAGCTCTTTAATGTGCTGGAGGAACAACAAGAACTCTTCATATGGCAACCTCTTCCTGCAAAAGAATAGAAAATCAACTATTTGCTATGAACCTCCCAGTTCACCACCAATGAGCGCATACAATCACACACCATGCACAAATGAGATCACACGAAGTTCACACTGGAGGCCAGAGAGACGAAGACCAGGCAAGCACAGCTTTAGAATTCCAACAAATGATCATACTAGCAATTAAGAGTTCCAGTCACAAGCGCTCAACAACGCAGATCCAAGTAACCAGTATCTTCACTCAGGCAAGTATTTCTCTCACTGTTCTTCCCTCTCCTCTCTGTCTTCTCTATGTCTACTACCTCCCTGTGTCTTCTCTCCCTACTTGCATGCACTCACACTCTCTACTACTCAAGGACCAACTCTGAATACACGCAATGCTAACTCTACTAGCCCCTCCGAAGTCTACCACTAACTACTTGGCACTGGTGCAGCTATGACTACCTTCCCTCTGCCAGTGCTGGGCAGCTATGGCTGCTCCCTCTCTCTCCCTCTACTAGCGCAGCTCCCTGGCTCAGAGCTCAGCTCCTCACAATAGCGCACAAGTGCACCAGCACTTCCACACCTCATGCGAATGGGCAATCTGGCCGAATGAGGAGGCTGGCCAGTCCTTACATTGTATTGGACTGAGCTTCAACTCGTCCCAGCCGCTGCCTCTTGGGGCTTGACTTGGTTCTGGTACCACATCCCCACGGCCTGTTTGCTTCAAAATGTCAGGCCCTGGTACTTTTCCCGAATTTTCATTGGTGTGCTGCTGCTTGGGCCTGTGAGTCACGACATTTCAATTGTGGAATGTGACTTTTGACTGTGGATTGTGACTCTTGCCTCTGGGACACGACTTTTGCTTGGGAAAGTGTCCTTTGCCTGCGGAATATGACTTTTCAATATGACGCTTCAATATGAGACGTGACTTTTGCCCCTGCGATTTGACTGTTCATCGGGTGCCTGTTGGACTTGACTCCTACCCCACTGTGACTTCTCTGAAACTCACCGACTTAGCCTCCCTGGCCTAAGACCTTGACCCTGAAACTCGAATTTGGGGTCTGAATCGTGGAAGGCCTTTCAACTTGGTCTCAACTGACAAATTCATACCATAAATAGAGGCATACCTGCAGTTATGCTGTGCACTGCATGATATGCAAAAAATGTGGCATGCTGAACAAGAAAGACAATAGCTTTTTTTTTTTTTTTTTCCCCAATGTGGACCATCTCTCGATTTACGAGTGTCATGCTTGAAGCAGGGGCCATGCTAATTTTCTCTGTATCGTTCCAATTTTAATGGATGTCCCAAAGACAGAATAGCTTCTCATTTTTGTAAATTGGATACCATGCACTTGCATTTTACAAGTGCAATGAGTCCAATCATCGAACAGCATCTCACAACACATCAATAGTACAGTTTATCACACTTTGGAGATTGCTTGGAAATCAAAATCTTCTACAGCAAGTCCAACAGGCCAAGCGGCTATGGCCGCCAACAACAACCAAGAACTCTCTCTCTCTATGTATGTATGTATATATCTATATTGTAATGACCCGCCAAAAACACACACTGAGAACACTGCTGATTTCTGGGATTTGCCGCTGGAATGAATGCCTTGTTGAAATCCCCGCATTCTGCTGTGATTTCCATGTCTGTGTGCGTGTGCGTGCCTGCTGGTTTGCATGCCTGTCTGAGTGCTTGTCGGTTGAGTGTGTGTGTGACCTGCAAGGGTACTTGTTGGTTGCAAGGCCCCGCAGGGCCGGTACTTACCTGTGGCCGTAACTGTGAGGGGTTGCAGGGGGAAAACACTCGAGTAGTGGGGGTAGGCCCGCGGCACTTAGAGCAGAGGGGAAAAACACTCAAGTAGCAGGTAGGCCGGTACCACTGAAGTAGTGGTAGAAGTGTCGGGTACTGGAGGCCGAGCAGAAGAAGACAAAAAGTTGGCATTTTTAGAGGCCCAGTAGCGGTAGGATAGCGGTAGGCTGGTACCAGTCCAAGTAGCCCGGGTCTAGGGCCTGTACGGAGGATAGCAGAGCCTGCAATGATGTTTCCCTCCGAAAGGGAGGAGGTACCGGTTGCTGGGAGGCCGCTCGGCCTAGGAAGTCACCGCCCAGGAGGCCTGTAGGCCGCTATATCTCCAGGAAGAGCAAAGAGCTCTTCCTCATTTGCGGTGTGCAAGGATTGGCGACATGCTGCTGGAGCACAGCGCTGGACTGGTGCAGCGCTGCTTGGAGGTGAAGGGCCGCTGGAGCTCAGCCTGGCTATGGCGAGCAGTCCAGCTTGAGGAGGAGGGAGAAGGGGTCATGGTAGGAGAGTGGCGGGGCACTTACCTGGTTATGGTAGACACCATCTTCATCACCTTGTTGGGCGCTAAATATGGAAGGCCCCAGTTGGGGGTAGTGCTGCACCAAGGAAGCTCGAGGCAGAGTCAGGCATGGGGGACCAGTCAGCAGCGGCGTAGCTGCTTTGGGTTGTCCTTTGGACATCAGCGCAGCACCATAGCTGCTTTGTGTTGTCCTTTGGACAGGAGGGCAGGGCCCTCATTAGTCCGCCATAGCCTATGCATGAGAGAGGAGGTTGAAGGAGGGAAGCCATAGCTATGGTGGACTGGTTGTTGTTGTTGTTGTTGTGAGTTGAGTCAGCAGTAAGGGGGAACTTCTGGTTCATCCATTCATTGTTATTATTATTATTGAGAGAAGAATAAGATTGGTGAACTGAAGGAGGAGGAGGAAGGTGGAGAGAGAAGGGGGAATTGTCATTGGTCTTGCTGGTGTACATCTTCTTCTTCTTCTTCTTCTTTCTCTCTCCTCTGGTCTTTATCTCTTTGCAAGTGCTTTCATTTCTTTTGCAATTGGGTGGCATGGTCTTTCATTGTGAATTTGCACTTGGGAAATGACCAGGATCGTAACAATTGGTATCGGAGCGGACTTACTTGCTGGCGAGAGGTGTTAGTAACCCTAAACCTAATTCCGAATTAGGTCAGGGCTAACCTAACTTCGGATTACGGTTGGAAGTTAGGGTTAAGTGGGGGGCAGTGAGGCATGTGGATACTGCCCCCACCTGGTTAGGTCATGTAGGGACGACATTTGACCTGACCAGGTTGACTGAGTGAATGGATGGGGTGGCGAGACACAAAGGAGGCTGATTGGAGTAAGCGAGAGGGAGTAGAGAGTGAGAGGTACTCGCACCTGGAATCTGCACTTCAAGAAGACATTGAGTGACTTTTGGGCTTCCCCTCAAGAGGGAGACTTGATCGGAGGCTGCCATATCTGCATCGGATTGCTGCAARTTGCTACTTTGGTCTTCARAYATCGACKGGGGATCCRRCTTTGCAACAGGSGTGTAGGAAGGCCCTCTTAGTCATGCTAGGACACTTCGTGTAGTGGTAGCTAGGGGTCAGGAGGACTTATGAGAGAGGGGGGTGACTCGTTATCCATCTTTGGAGGGCGGGCCTCACAGGTAAGTGCCGTGTGACCTGGTTATGCCCGTGGGAGGCTGCTTGGTACTTCACGGCCTGTTGGGGGTGTGCTGTGCTCTCTTCCTCTTCTCTGCGGCCTTGGTTGTGTGTGTGAGCATGTGGATTGCTTTCTCACCTGATGGATGGATGAAAAATGACATATCTTTCTACGGTGCATTGTCTTTTCATTTCTGAACGGCTGTATGGGTAAGTTCTTGATGGAAGTTGTCTTTTCCTTTTCAGTACGGTAGAGGCAGTTTGGGATCGACTTGGTACCCCTATCACGTTGGTCCTGGTCCACGACCTACTTGGGACCCCTCGGGACCCAGTGGGACCAGGCCCAACGGGAGAGAACCTTTCGGGCCCAAATCTGTTGCCGCCTGTGCATCTCTTTGCTGCGCTGAACTTGGGGGACATACGGCTAGGGCATTCCTTTCAAGGGGCTCTTGACTGGTCTTACCGCCTGTTACCGCATACTACCCCGCGTCTGGCTCGGCGACCGTCTGCACCCCTCGAAATCTCCATTGCTGCAGTCAGCTTTCTTCGATTGATTTATTGTGATACATGTCCCTTGTCAGGTTAGACAAGAGGGGCTCTCCAGCTTATCTGATCGGGCCCGTTCTATAAGTCAGCCGTCTCTTCCGTTTTATTTATTTATTCTTTTATTCCGCTGCGTGCCATTCTCTAAGTCCAAATGAATCGCCGCTCCGGCTAGGAGTTCTACCTTCTTCTCTGTGTGATTTTCTGCTTGTTTCTTTCATTTGAACTATCTATGTCCCGTATCAAGACGCGTGCGCAAAAAGCTGAGAGAGAGAGAAGGGAGAGAGAAGGTGTTCTGTTTGAGAGTGTGAGGAGGGTCAAGAGGAGTGTTCGTCCAAACGTAAGGAGAGAGCGGACCCCTCTTGAGAGATCTACTGACACCCCTTCCTCCGGCATGGCAAACATCACATCTGCCCAATGGCAGGCCATGCTGGATGCAGCAGATGAGAACGAGAGACCGTTCTTCCAGAAGCTTTATGATGATGCCGTGCAGAGGGAAAGGGAGGCAGAGGCAGCAGCCAGAGCCGCCAACATTGCTGATCAGGTGGCCCTCCTTCGGATCCCGGAAGCCAATGCTGACCGGTTCCAGGAGGGACTAGCTGCTGCCGTAGCAGCCTTGGTTCGATTGCGGACCCTGGAAGACCTTGAGTCCCGTGTGACAGCACTAGAGCAACGAAACCAGGAGTTGCAGGCTGAGCTACTCAGCCTCAAACAGTCCCAACTGTCTGCCCCTGCCCTCCTAACCCTCGACCTGCTGCAGTCCCAGTCTCTCAATCTAACACAGTCCTCGTGGCAAGAGCAAGTGGAACTGTGACGAGCGCAGGAACCGGTGCCAGCTCCTCAAGCGGCAACGCCGGCAGCTCTGCACTAGTCATAGTCCCAAATGCAGGGACATCAGCCCAAAACGCCACAGTCCTTACTGGCGTTCAGTACAGCGGTCCCGTAGTGGACAAGCGGGCGGCCACCTTGCCGTCCAAGTACGACGGGAAAGCGGATATCACCTCTTGGATTAGTTCCATGCGGTCAT